TACGAGTCCCTGTGGGATCGATATCTATTATTACTACGCGATAGACTGTGCACTTGCAGTTAGATTTGTTAGACATAGAAAGTCGCGATCAACCATCTTGTAGTTCAAGTAGCGGCTGACAACAAATTTCTTCGCACCTGCTTCTTCAGTATCATATTTTCTTTGCAGAGCCTCCCATACCTGTTTAGCAGTCCTGTAGCTACTGTAGTAGTCGTACAGATCATCAGCAAGGCTGTTCAGAATGTGATTTTTGTACAAATAATCATTCTCGTGCCATAAGGCGATTTCTTTTCGGAGCTGCAAATCATCTGCTGCAGCCTTAGCTTTTGCAGCATCTGCTGCAGCCTTAACTTTTGCAGCATCTGAGTCAGGCATTTTGGAAGTCCCGTCTGAATCTGCAAGTGAGTTACCATTAGGTAGTTCAGATGATGCAGAAGGGACAACCAGGATATCCTCAGTCAGAACGTGGGCAACCTTTTTCAGAGTTAAGAAAAACTTCATCTTAGCTTGCCAACGTTTGAAATTGGAACCCTCAAACCTGAAAGGTTTGTCAGAGACCGAAGCGGCCGCAGTAGAACCGATAATTTCCTCAGTTGCCATGGCAGTTATTAAAACGTCTTAAAATTGTTGTTTTCGGATTTAAAAAATTGAGTTTGGCACAAGGAAATTATCGGGACGAGTCGCGTACTAGGTCGCTTTCTTTAAGACGTTTCGCCGTACTGCCAAATTATGCAAAGCAGTCGATTTACGACGACGCCTCCAGGATAAAACAGCCTGTTCTTAAAACTTACGATTATCAGTTGCACACTGATAAATCGCTCTAGAAATACACCTTTCTAAATTAGTATATGGCGCAAATAACCAGTCAAGAAAAGAAAAAATTGTAAGATGAAGAGAATAAAGGGAGAAAAGAAGGAAATCAAAATTCGTGTGAATTTGTGAAATCCGATGTGCTCACTACTGAATTTCTACCCTGTATTTATAGGCAGCTAGTAAGGCTTAATTTCCATTCCCTTCAATGTGGGACTAAATTGAATCTTAATTTTCATTCCTTCAATGTGGGACTAAAATGAATCTTAATTTGCATTCCCTTCAATGTGGGACTAAAATGAATCTTAATTTGCATTCCCTTCAATGTGGGACTAAAATGAATCTTAATTTTCATTCCCTTCAATGTGGGACTAAAAATGAATCTTTTCAAATTCACTTCTATATTAGTTCTTACTTGTATTCATTTATTGCTCATTAATTGTCAACAAATGTTTCCAATTCCCACTCTAATCAATTAAAGTTCCAACAAAACACATGACATTGTGGGACATGGGAAACATACAAAAGACCCACTTGTGATTTCTGAGGAAGACATAAATGTTGGTAGTGTTGAGGGAAAGAAAACTTGGAAAGACATATAGAAGAGATTGACACAGTGAATTTCTATTATGAAATTTCTTATTTGGAACATCAATCTTGCCAATTACTGTCATAAAAATTTATGTTATTTCATATGGTAATTATGTATTGTCAACTGTCATAAATTTCTGCCAATTTCTGGAAAATGTGCAAAATTGTTAGCATTATGTATAGAAGTTATTGACATTTCTGGTTAACTTAATTATGTTTGCAAATTACGTAATGCAAATTAGACTGCCAAATAAAAATTGTGCTTGTAATTTGGACGGTATATGCAAATTATGACAAACCATTTCAACACCTTTCATTAACAAAACAAATCCAAAATATAGCTCATATCTTAACAATTACATTTCAAAATCAAAGAAAACACAACAAATTCAACAATTACATATCAAAACCAAATACACGTTAATCATAAAAGACATTGCAAAACACAACATCTTCAAATTTCCATAAAATTTCTCTGCTTTCAATTTGGTCTTTAAATTTTTGTTCTTAATTCTTCATACAATATCTTTGTATAACCCATAGATGTTATAACTTCCAGCTTTGAGTTCATAATGCTTCCATATTCATTTATAGATTTTGGTCCAAAGTCTTTATTCCATATGAACAAATAACAGGTACCAACACACCTTCTATAGGGACATCTCCAAAACGACATTCCTTTATTAGGACTATTCTTGCATTGGTACAACAACATACGAACCTGACACCCACAAAATTTCCCAACTCGCGATTTTACAGAGGCAGACGACATTAGAGTAGGTTAGAACATAACTTTTATGATAATAAGAATGAAATAGAGAAATAAATAATGAGACACAGGCAGAGCTGACAATGAACCAAACCAACTCGAAAATAGTTTGGAATTCGATTCGACAATTAAATCGTTGAACTAGGTTCATGAACCAAATGAGTTGAGTATGAGCAAAAAATTAAGTTCGTTAACTAAATGAGTTGAACTTGAACTATACATAGTTCGACTCATTAGGTTCATGAGTCAACTTGATTACATATGAGAAGAATTATACTGTCTTTAAGATTAGGTTTAAATATTTACTTCAAATCTTAGACAAATTTAATCTTCAATTTAGTAGTTTTTGAATTAGACTCTCAAATGTATCTCTTGAAAGTTGTGTAGGTTTTGAATTAGTAAATTTCGAAGATAAAGTTAAATTTCAATATGATAACTTTTATTTTATTTTAATATTTTATTTTAAAAAAATATATTTATTTAAAATGTCAAATATACTGAAATATATATATATATTTTTAAAAAATAGTTTTTAAGTCCGTGAATCATGTGAGCTGAACCTAATGAGATGAACCTAACGAGTTGAACCGAACTGTTCGTGAACTTATAACGAGTCGAGTTTGAGCTTAAAAAAAAGTTCGTGTTGAACTCGAACTTGAACTCGAACTCGAACAATTCTTAACGAGTCGAGCCGAGCTGAGGTGAGTTCGACTCGACTCGACTCATTTCCAGTCCTAGACACAGGTGAAAGCAAACAAAGCTTTGACGAAGAAGATGAAAACAATGAAGCTTTGGTGAAGATGAGCGAAAAAAAACAGAGATAAATAAAGGTGTTACGTTAGGTCATATGAAAACGCATCGGCTTTCAACTTATTTTAACTTGTGCCATTTTCCACGTTATCATTCATGTTAATAACAAAATAATATTTTTTAATTCACTTAAACTACCACATAAGCATCCATTAGTGACATTTAATATTAGAGATTAATAGTATGGATGAAAGTTTTTGAAAAGACCATGAAGGAAAATTTTAAAAGAACTTAAAACAAAAATAATTATATTTATGAGGATCAAAAATTTATTTAACCTAAGAAAATATTTTAAGAAATTGATAGATAAGAAACATGCCTATTTAAACGTTATCTGAAATATGCCACTGTCCAAAATGTAACTTTTTACTCTGCAATGAGTTACTAATATGACCTGTTCACTTGAGGTATGAAGGAACTATATTTACATGCGATATTATTAAAACTTTGTTTGGATTGATGCAATCAGATAGAGTTAGCATGACAAAAAAATGTAGACCTGTTTGAACCCATCTTGAAATTAATGAGAAAAACTCAAATTCAAACCTGATTTTCTATTACGCGTGCGGGGGATGCTACTATCCACCCCGCACCCTGGCCACACCCCAGCCTAATGTAATTTAATTTAATGTTCTTATTTTTATTATTTTATTATGCATTTATTAGTTATTTTAATTAAATTTTTTTTTATTAAAGTTATATAAATATATTAGAGTTATTTATTATTTAGAAACATTTATTATTAAAATAATTATTTTAATTAAATTATTAATTTTTATTATTATAAAAAAAGTTTTTGCATGTGGGTTTGGAGGTGAGAGAGTGCCTGAAAACGAGCAGGACTAATTAAACCCGACCCGCCCTGTTGTCATGCCTAGATGCAACAAAGCGCTCTATCCTACTACACTCAATTCTATTCCATTCATTTTATAATATCAAAACACAGCCTAAAGCAAGGTAGTCAAGATCGAGTGCCGATCGTAACGATCTTACGTACCAAATTTACCTTTTAGTGCTACGATTTTGAAAAAAACTTTTTTGTGTATTTTTATAGTCAAGATCGTAAAAAATATAGTGCTGGGCGCCTTTTTAAGTGAACCCAGCTATTCGGTTTTTTTTTAAGTGAATCCAGCTTTTTAATTAAGTTCTCAGACCTAATCCTAAAACACCAAAAGACAAAACTGCATCTTTACTCCTTACTCGATACTATTCCTTCTCCTTTAACAATTCTTCTCTCTGCAACTTTCCACCATCATCATAACCATTCTCCCTCATCATCTTCATTCTTCTCCCTCAGTGTCCACCTTCTTCCTACTACCGTTTTTTTCCTATTAATTAAATTAGTTGAGTGTTGTAATTTATAGGTTATTTTGTTCATTTATTATAATTTTTCATGTTTTTGTCCATGTGAAATTACCATTTTACCCTTTGGTAAGATCTTAAGTGTCGTGCTACGATCCTAGTTTTACGATCTTTTGTAGGCTGTCCGATCCTACTTAAGATCCTGTGCTTGACTACCTTGGCCTAAAAGATACAACTAGAAAAATTGCTTATATTTAATTTAATATTGAAAGTGTCATTGATACAAGTCAATATATTTTAGTTAAGCAGATGGGAATTAAGTATAGTATAAATAACATGCTCAATATTTTCATACACCAACCAGCCTACTACAGTATTAAACTTTCTGTGCCACATGTTTTTAAAAAAAATAGTTGCAGTGAAATTCTGAGCAAGCAATGTGATATTAATTTTTATGGTAACTGTCACAAAGCATCTGGCACAAGGATAATTATGAATGGAAAGTACTATTCGCTTTGGTAATCATACACAGTAGCCACATCATTCGTGCAGAATCCTTTTACTCAAGTTTTGGCATTTTCCCTTAAGATAAGCAAGCAAGCAATAACATATTTAAAATAAGACAATAGGAAGATAATATCCCTAAATCAAAATGATGGAATGTAACACTACCAATACGTTAATCCATTGTAATCAACATTCAAAATACATCTCTGTTTCAAAAGAGTGAAGTCGTAAGCTCAGTGATATCAGACGCAACTTGATCAAACTCCAACTTTAGTTTCTCTTGCACCTCTTGTGCAAGTTCACCCTTTGAAGGTTTGGTCATCACTAAAACACAACAAGTAGGCCTCTTTGTTGAACCTGCAGTTGCAAGGTCCTGGAAAATGATCCAAACAATTTAGCATATGAACTTTCATCAACTCCAGCAATTGATGTTTCTCAACATACATTAACACCAAATTATGGAATAACAGTTTTTATAAAGCAACAGTAGGATTCTGAAACATGTGGTCCATAATATTAACTTAAAGATAAAAAAACTGAGATTAAAAGCAAAGTTGGTGACTTACTTCTTTAGAGGGGACATATACATATGGAATTTCGGCCTCTTCACATAAAATAGGAACATGAGTGATTACATCAATTGGCGATATGTTACCAGCTATTACACATACTCTGCATTGACAAAAAGGCAGAAAATAAGGGTACTCGTTTATTTTCCATTAATAAAAACTAAATCTTGAGAGACAGAAGGGTCACTAAGATGGAATTTCTTAAGCACTTGGAATACAATTAATATCTAGTAAAAACTTAATACTGACCCTTTTTGACCACGCCTTATACTTTTAACCACCTCTTTTACACCTCTCTTTATGCATTTGTGTTCAGCCGCTGAAACATGCAAGTATATGTAAGACAGTGACCAAACAATGCATTCTTCCAGACATACATTTAGAGAACCAACAAATTAAAACATCATAAACTCAAATCTTCTTCCATATCAAACTAACTAACCCACAAACCAACTTTTTCTTTAGAGCAAAATCTCCCAATTTTCAAACAAAAAATACATGTTAAAATTCAAGTATATAACGGCTCAGCAGATAGTAGCCTACAAAACCAAATGGAGTATTTTGTCACACCCCATTACCCATCCTCATCCTCACCCACATGTTCAATTAAAACCTTAGCCCAATTAATTTCTAATGAGTAAACAGTAACTTAGACCCCTAAATGTAGAGCTAACTTACTAGTTAGCATATCTTAATCTTAATACATTAAAACTACAAGAATATCAGCAACAATACATAAGCAACAACAGCACGTAAGAATAAACTCAACTAGCAAAACTAACAAACTAAAAATTGCTAAACAAACAGTTCGATTCAAACTATAGCACACTCTAGCTCATACAAAAATCAACAAGCATATGCTACTTCGATACATGTATAGTTTTGAAGTAAAAGCAGCGGCAAAACCAATAAGAAAGACGCTAACTACCTTTTTTTACAAGCTTGAGTGTTCGTTTGGAAAGTTTCTTCCCTGCAAGAGGTTTTGCAATGGGAGCTAACGCAAGTATCTTCTTCCTCTCCTTCTCTCTCTGCACCGATTTCTCACCTTCACTGTCGCTTCCCATTTCTCACTCTTCTCGATGAAAATTTTCGGAATTTTAGGGTTTTAGTCTCACAAGGCTCAACCTTTGGTTTTGAATTAGGGTTTTTATAGATACACACGTGACTGCTTATGTAAAGTTATAACTTACGAATTTATAATTGGGCCGAACCGGGTTCTTTTCAAGCAAATTCGGCCCATATTTATCGGGCTTTAATAAAAATAAAAGGCCCATTTAAAAACCTAACGCAAAATTTCGGGTTTGGATGAATGGTTTCATTGCATAAGTTTTGTTTCCGCGTTGGAAAATCCCTTAAACGCACGGCGAAGTGAAAGTTACAAGTTCCAGCTTCTCGCAAACGCGCTCATTCACTCGTCGATCAGAAGAACACCATGCCTACTATCAGTGTAGGGCGGGATCGTCTGTTTGCGGCTCTAGGAAGAACTTACAGTGAGCTTCCGTTTTCATTTCAATCAGTTTATGTGCTTGTATTTATAATTTTTCATGTTAGTTGATTACATTGGCTTTTTTCTTGTTTGAATTTTTTCAGCGCAAGAGGAATTTGAAGACCTGTGTTTCAGTTTCGGAATTGAGCTTGACGATGTTGTAAGTGATTTTCTGTTTTTTTTTAATTGGAGCATGTTTTACTTTTTTTTATTGTAATAATCAATTATCAACATTGGTATATTAGACTACAGAAAAAGCAATTGTGAGAAAAGAGAAGCATTTGGAAGAAGAAGAAGGTGAAGAGGATGAAGAAATAATCTACAAAATTGAAATTCCTGCAAACAGGTATCCTATGATTATAGCTTTTATTTTATACTTCTGATGTGCAAAATTTGGATGTGCATTGAGTAAATGTTTGTTTTATCTTCACCTTTCTGTTATTAATTATTTTAATACGGTTGTTTTGACTTTTTGTAATTCATACTTTATGTTGCATTTGGAATAAGCTTTGACTACATAATTGAGATAGAAATAAAAAATTCAAGCTTGCGAATACTCAGTTAAATTGGAATTAATGCAATAGTGATTCTCTTTTGTTGAAAAACAAGGTTGAGTACTCATTGATTATGACGTGGCATATGCTTTTCTCGCAGCAATTGCAATTTTCACTTAATTGTGTAACCATTTGAAGAACGGTTGTCACAGATTTTAAATGATGTGGAAAAATGTTGTTTCCTTTAAAAGCAAAAGGTTTTACTGAACTGCTGTTTACTTTTTGCTCAGATATGACCTACTCTGCCTTGAAGGACTGGCTCAAGCCCTCCGAGTTTTCTGTGGGTTACAGGATATCCCCACTTACAAATTGTCTGACATTAGTAAGGATAAAATGCTTAAAATGCATGTGAAGCCAGAGGTATTTATATATGCTGTTACTTGTTAATACACAATTTTTTAGTATGAGCCTTTTCTAAGTGGAAAGTGAATTATTTCTTGTCTCATTGCAGACATCTTTGATTCGGCCCTATGTTGTATGTGCTGTATTAAGAGGCATAACTTTTGATAAAGCGAGATACAACAGCTTTATTGACCTCCAAGACAAGCTGCATCAAAATATTTGTCGGTAATGTGATTTGAATTGCTGCTTTATTTGTTTTGAGCTGCACACTGACACTACCTGTTTCTCAAATCAATGGTGTAGTTGCTCTTATATGTTAACTTGGATATTCTAGAGCCATCTTTAGTCAGTTATACTGCTGTAACAGATTTCTATCTAATGAAGGGTAATTTTGTATTGTTACTCTATGTTAAAATAATTTTTTGCTAATGGAGTGGAAATTAAATGTATATCATATGGAGTGTAGTCAAACAACTAGCAAGACCTAGAAAAACTATAAGAGAAACTATTAAGAAAGATCTCGAGATTAACGAGTTGGGTAGAAACATGGTCTTTGATAGAATATTATAGCGTAATTTGATCCATGTAGCTGACCACACTTAGTGTGATAAGTTTTGATTGTTGTTTGTCATACTCTATGTTGTTAACCTCTGAGCATTGCATAGCACCGGCCCAGTAAAATGATATTGCAAAAAGCGAGATAGCCGCCATTGCAAAGACTAACAACCATTGTACAAAGTCAACATAAATACGCAAAAACAGAAAAATAGACAATCATATTCAATTGTTAAAGAACCTGAAGTATAGAGCAATAAAATATAAGGAGAGTTGAAGAATAAAACTGAACTAAAAGTAAGAAGAAGAACATAACGATTGTTTGAGTAAGATCATAACAAAATTAAGACAAATTTTACTCTTAAAAGGGTTCATATTGAAGTTACCCTTAAAAAAAGGGAAAAGTCGTGCCAAACCATTCCACCGCTGTGCTATTACGCTATAGCACGCTATTGGCAACATAAATGTTACCCGTTGTAAGTTTCTGTGGAAAGAATAGCTTGCAAAGCAAGCCATTGTAGCTGTGTAAGTACCTTTAGCAGACTTCATATATCTCATTCACCTATAAAACAAATTTATCACTAAATTCTGTTTCTACCTTTCTGTCTTTCTCACGTTCTCTAGATTCTTCAAACCAAAATAGCCCTGTGAGTTTGAATGCTGTCATGTGCCCTTTTTCTTTCCTTATATTGTACATAAATTCTTTATCATGGAATCTTTTGCTTTCCTATTTTTGATGGAACAATTGGAAAACTCTTGTTAGCCGATGGCTTTTGGATTCTTTTTGTTTCCAATTTATGCTGTTTTCATTCTAAATAGGTTCCCTTTTTATTCAGCAGTTTATTTTCAATTCATTTTTGTAATCTCATATAGCACTTTATGAATGGTTTTCAGTTAATTTGTTTTCATTCTTTTTCAGGCGAAGGACCCTTGTTGCTATTGGCACTCATGATCTGGATAAACTGGAGGGTCCTTTTACCTATGAGGTTGATTTCTTTCAAACTCTAGAGCATGAAAATTTTAAGTATTTTGGATAGAAAACTTAACAAAATTAAGATTTTGAGGAAGACATTTATGTACTGTATTGCTACTGGGTTTGGTGTGTTGGTATTAAAACCAGGCCCTGTATATGAATTTTTCTAAGGCAATTTCACCAAGAGATATATTTCAAAAATTAATTTCAGTTTTCTTACCAATTTGATTCTATCTGTTATCTGGGTCATCAGCATATTGATGTTTCTTATTTTTTTTCTCTCAGGCTTTACCACCTTCGAGTATTAACTTTACACCTCTAAAACAGGTAACTTTTATTTAGGGCATTTGTTTCTATAAAAGCATATGTTTTAAATCACATACGATACTACTACAGCCTCCTTTGAAGAAAGGAACATGTTTTGACTTATAATCCTTTGTGTAGTACTCAGATAAAAATATTTATTGGTCTATGAATTTATTTATCAAGCTGATGTTCAAACTTTAATAATTTTCCTCTTTTTGTTCTTTGGCATGGTAGGAAAGGAGCTTCAGGGCTGATGAGCTCATGGAGTTCTACAAAGTGAGTTTTTGAATAATGTTTTCTTACTTTATTTATATAGTTTAAGTTGTTATAAACCTTGCACAATTAGGCTTATGAGTCATTCAAGTCCACCCAACAAGGTGTTCACTTATTATTTTCTGTTTGGACATGCTTCCTTTGAGATGCACCTGAATACATTTTTTGATTTAATTTTGACAGTCAGATTTGAAACTGAAGAAATTCTTGCATATTATTGAAGACTCACCCGTTTATCCTGTTTTATATGATAGTAAGAGGTATTATATTTTCATTGTGTCCTCATATTTAAATTTGCAAAACTTTGAAATCTTTTAGCTCTCATTTTGGCAATACAATCACAAAGCTTTGTTTGTATATTATGCTATTATAATAATTAATTGTATTGTTATTTAAGCGTTTTGATGGGAATGTATGCTAATTTACATCACACTAAACTAGTAATAAAATTGAGGATGAATGTTAAAAAAAATTTGGTGCATAAATGCTCGTTATAATTTAGATTGTGTTAAATAATGATCAGGATGTATGTACAACGTATAATAATAAAATTTCTGGTATGGTAATTGAGAAAAAATAATTTCAAACATGTTCAAAATGTTTTAATTTCTAAACCAGAAAAAATATGTTTTAAAATTCTATATAATCAACTTTTAAATTTTTTTGAACAAATTAACTTTTAACTGAAGTATATTGGATTTTAAAATCAGAGCATCCTATTGCTATTGATTACAAGTGATTTTTTTAGTTTTGGCCTTGCTTGGCGTTAGAATATAAGTGGCATTGGCGTGATTCAAATCTATCTATTGTCTTACAAGGCCTAGAGTACTTTCTGTTCTCCGAGAGGAACTATGTTTTTGTGCATGGTTTTGTTGTACTTCTTGTTGATGTGTTCGGGAGAGTGGTTGATTGCAAGCTAAGATTTCTCAGTGAAAATTCTGAGGTGATTAGGTTTTACTTACTCTATGAAATATGACTTTAAAGCATATGTATACTATTCATGGTTGATTGCAAAGGCTTTAATGGTTATATACAGGAAATATGACTTGGTGGATTTACCTTTAATATGCTGCCTTGTTTGCACTTTGCACTATTAGTGCCCGAGGATTGAGCCAATTTGTCTTGTTTGATTTAGTTAGTGGGGAATCCCCGATTTCTACTAATTTTATTATTTCTTCTCTCTAATAAAATGTCTATCTGAAGATGAGATACCCTATCTGTTGATATTCTGATTCATAAAATTTAAAATATTATAGATTTAAAGCATACATAATAAATTTCTTAAACGAAAAAGTTATGTGCTTGATGCTTATGTACGCTTCAATTTCTAATCATGACACACAAACACATGAATAGTAGTCATTTACAGACACATATGGAAAAGAACCTTCAAAAATTCTTTAGTGAGAGATGCTTTTCCACTGAATTTGTCGGGTTAATTTGTAGAAATGCTTTTAAATATTCTTCCTACTCTATTTTCTGTTAATTGCACTTTCTTGTAAATAGAAAATTATGGCATTTGGCCTTTTTAATTTTCATTAACGTTGTCGCATCATATTTGTTGTTGAATTCAGTTATTGATGATGCGCTATGATTTTTTTACAGAACTGTTTTATCTTTACCCCCAATTATCAATGGTGCACATTCAGCTATTACTCTGGAGACAAAGAATGTCTTTATTGAATGCACTGCTACTGATCTGACAAAGGCGAAAATTGTTTTAAATACAATGGTAGAGCAGTGAATTTTGCTTTTTTTTTTTGTCTGCATTTTCTTGGAGTTATAAAATTTTGGATTACGACAGACTATTATTTTTTTAGGTAACAGCCTTTGCGGAATATTGTGAAAATAAGTTTGTCATTGAACCAGTTGAAGTGGTTTCTTCTGATGGAAAATCTCACGTATACCCTGATTTATCTATCTACAATATGGAAGTTTCTCTATCTTACATTACAGGATTGATTGGAGTATCTTTGGAGGCAGAAGAGGTAATTATTTCCTATACATTGCTAATGCAAAATTTACAGAGATATTTGTTCCCAAATTTTGACTGGCTGTAAGCTTTTTATCAGCATTAATTAGGCTTGAGGCATCCATTTATCTATCCTTTATAAATTATATTTTACAATAGGAATTATATTTTTACATGTCAAAGTATTTGTTGGATAAACGCTGCTATCCTTATTTATTTGTGCTTTACATAAAAGAGTTTTCTGCTGGTGTTCTTTCCAGATTTTAATTTACAACTTGATTTTTTGACATGCTAATGTATCTTTTGGACTTAAGGTCTGCATGTGTATAAACAACCAGTAAATTTGGTTTTAATCTTTTTACATATTACAGGGTGACTGTATTCTTTTGTTTGGTCGTTTTACTTCTATGGTTGAGTTCTTCAGATGTTCATGTCATTATTACCTTGAGTTCTATTTTGTTAGGTTTTTTTTATCTGCAGTGTATTGTCTCTAATATAAGATCCAATACTTATGTTTCTGATGGAAACTGGAACGAATATTGCCATTTGTCCATAATTTTTCCCGATTTCTTCAGGTTACCAAGTTTTTAAATAGGATGCAATTGCATGCCAAGCAATCTACATCTGACAGTAAACAGTGCAACTTTATTGTATCCGTACCCCCTACTAGAAGTGATGTTCTTCATCCATGTGATGTTATGGAGGTAATGGCGATGATAAGCTTGATCATTCACGGATGCATATTGGTTCTATTACATATGTTTTTACTGATAAATGCGTCCCACTTTTGTTTCCGTCATCTGTAGGATGTCGCAATCGCTTATGGATTCAATGCTATTAAGGATCAAGCAATAGTAGATAATAAGGGGTCGAAGAGATTAGCTGCTTCCTTGACGCTACTTCCTCTGAATGAGCTGAGTGATCTTATCAGACAAGAGGTATAGAACAAAATTATAGATCTTGTGACTCCTTTGATTGAAGCAGGTTTAAGTTTTTTATGCTTTTGATTTTCCATAAAATATTGCCAGTCAGTTTATTGTGTTTGTTAAAACTACAGAATAAATTACTACATGGAATATTATTGAATGATATTGTTAATTATTTGAAGTGAGGTTACCTGAATCCTTTTATTCCCAAATTCTTTTCAGGTTGCAATGATTGGGTTCACGGAGGTTTTGACATTCATACTCTGTTCTAAAAAAGAAAACTTTTCCATGCTAAACCGCAAAGATGATAAATCCAAAGCGGTTATCATTGGAAACCCTAGATCTTCAGACTTCGAGGTTCATACACTTCAACTCTTTTAATTGCAATGTGTCTGTCCAAGCAGTATTCTAATTTCAATGACAACAGAATAACTTAAAATGGTTCTTTTCAGTATTGATCTTTTTGCATTATTCTCAGAGGTTATTTGAGGTTATTTATTATTCCAGTTGCTGCACAAACCATTAATAGTTTTCACTGTTAATGGTTTCATGTATTGGATTAACATCTGAAGTTCACATTCTCAACTGGATCAATCACCTGTATCTTACGTGCAGCCTGCTCATTTGTGTTGACCTACCATTTTGTTCCACTGTGTTGATGATGTTTATTGCTTTAACCTTGCCCTATTGCTGAGCACCTAAGATGCAGTCCATTCTATCTGTTGACAATCTAATTTGTTCCTTTACTTTTAGTCTTGTATTTTTTTTAAAAAGCTTTTGAACATATAATTGTATTTGTGATTGATATAGTGGTTTTTTCCTATGACAAAATTAATATTTATTCTTTAGTTCAATATTTTTGCTTTAATTATTTTTATATTCTTACATATTATATTCAGGCTGTCCGGACTAGTCTTATGCCCGGCATTTTGAAAACTGCTGCTCACAACAAGGATCATCCAAAACCCATAAAGGTATTACTTGAGTTTTTCATTTTGAAAGATTTTAATTTCAGTCAGACCAAATTGACCAACTCTACCTCTACATCAGATAATTCAATTGATCATTTTTTTCCTCTACTATGGTGGTGTAAGCTCGTATGAATATATTTCTAAAACTTTTGATTCAGATTTTTGAAGTGGGTGATATAGCTATTTTGGATGACAATGATGTTGGTGCAAAAAATCTACGCCAACTTGGTGCACTGTACTGTGGTGCTAATGCAGGATTTGAGGTATATATATCAAGTAATTACTTGATGGCAGTTTATTTGGTTTTTTTTCTCTCTGAAAACATCAGCATCTCTACTTGATTGATTATAGATAAGGATGAGTGAACTTAGATTCCTAGATTTTTCATATCCAAACTAGCTTAGAATTTAATTCACACTTTTGCTATATTTAACAAAAGTGTGATACTATTAAAAAATAAATATCACTGCTTCTCACAGTTAGCAGAATAATAAGTTGGATCATTGTACTTAAATTTATCAATAATGATATGCAGATAATTCATGGCTTAGTGGACAGAGTAATGGAGAAGAATGGGATTACCTTTGTTTCACCTGGTGATAAATCAGGGTATTATATTGAGCGGTCAGATGTAAGTGTATATTGCTACACATGTTCTTTCTGTGTTTTATGTTGTCCTTTTTTTTTAATAAACCACTTTATTCTGATTCTAACTTTATGAACTCAACTGTTTATTGAAGGAGCCCGAGTTTCTTGCTGGTAGACAGGCTAGAATTATTTACAAGGGAAAGCAAGTTGGGACTTTTGGCATTGTTCATCCAGAGGTACCTGTGATCACTGAAATCATGTCATCTTGATTTATCATGGTCAATTATTTCCTGTGCAGTAGATTGTATTTCTGTGGCTGCAACTACTTTATATTTCCTTGGAGTCATATACATCTAAAACAAATTATTCTGCTTGTTGTGTATTCTTCCAGGTATTAAACAACTTTGACATTCCTGATCCTTGCTCCTTTGTTGAACTCAACATTGAAAGTTTCTTGTGAGGATTATTTGAAGCAAATGTAAGTATTTCCATTATAAACTATTTCTTATGGTCAGCTTGTGATATTGCAGTTTTATGTTTTTCAATGCTTAATACTTTTTTATATATTTCACCTATCTTATTGACTACTACATCCTTCCTGTACAAATTTGGTAAGACTGATATTTGACTTGTTTTTATGTAGCCATTGCCCCTGGATATTAGTGTATTACTTGTTCAGCCTGGGAGTCGAAATGCTCAGGAGGTTGGAGGCTTTCACACACTTGGAAATTTAGAAGTACTAAATGGGGAGCAGAATGTAACTTGTATGCCCCAAAGATTAGGGGTATTTTGTTGATTATTAAATTGTATCATTTTCTTTGGTTAAGTTATTCCATTTGATGTGTTTAGAACATCAGAAGCCATAACCTAGGGATGATTCTACTTGTAGAGTTATTGTTGAAGACAGTTTTGTCCTTAAAACCAAGAGAGATGGATAGTACTGTAATTTTTGCCAAAATGCATTCTGCAGCCTTTTAAGTTCAAACTATATCAAATTAGTCATTTATGTTTTTTTCTTTCTTTCCCAGAAATCATTTAAAACTACTTTACTAAATATTAAAAGTTCCTTTCCTACTTTCTCAAAGAGTAGCAGTTAGAACTAAAGAAATAAGATCAGAAATAAATTCAAACAATTGGTATATTCTAAAGAAGATCCTTGATCTAATCAACCAAGTAGAAAAATGGATGATAAATATTGCAACCATTAGAAAGGAGGAACCAGGATAGAGTAATAAATGGTATGATTACTTTTTAAAAAATAAATAATAAGAGGAACTATCATCATGTATTACAAAATAGATATTTTATATTATGTAATTATTAATTTGAATGAGTTTGAACTGAGCTCTGGACATAATTATTCTTTACAATTACACAAATTAGTCGTACAATACACAAGGATATTTGATCATGTTTAGATCCACTGTTTTTACATCAAAACACATCCCAAGTTAAATTCGTTCATGTTTTTCCAAAATTTAAGCCGAAAAGTATCTCCGAACACACCCCATCAAGGATTTTGCTCATTTATCAACTCATTAAATACATTTTTTTTTTATTTGTGAAGCTGGAATTTTAAAAAATGACACATTTACATGTCCGTAACAAATTCGAAAATCTGCTTTTGAATTTGTCAAGCAGAAAATTTAATAAAACAAGACCTTTTATGATCAAAGTACACTTCTCTCAAAACCCTTTAAAAATATTATTTCATTCTCAATCAACTTTTGCACTCCAAAACATCATTTTTGTGTTTTATCACATCAAAAGAAGTAAAAGAAGTTGGAATTCAAAATAATGTACGGATATCTCCTTCCTCATTACTCCCATTAATCTAGTTTATGAGCCGAAAAAATGAACGTTGCGTCAGAAAATACATTTTCGGATTCTAGTTGAATGTCATACATAAGTGTATTTTCGGATTAGTTCAGAGTTCAATTTGGACTTTTAAAAATATTTTATATTATTGTTTGCTTAAAATATGATGCACCCTGATGTTGTCCCCAAACCTCTTGTGTCTACAAATGCCAAACTTGTTGATGTCAAGGTAGATGATGACAATCAATTGACAAATGAACAATAGTTTGATGTTCATGATCATATGCTCCAATTGATCCATATTGAGGCATCCAAATGGAGTTTGACGTTGTAATCACATGGTCAGATAATGGTTTAAATAGAAAACTTGCATTTGTGACACCGAGATGCAAAAGAAGTGTAAAGTACACAACTTTTATCCAAACGTTGAAACGAGATGATACTGGTTCGAAGAAATGTGAGTGTCCTTTTAAGTTGCGTGGATATCTTTTGGCAAATAATAAATGAAGATTTAATCTGATTTGTGCTACACATAATCATAACATGTGTCACAAGTTAGTTGGGCATCTCATTGCATGCCACCTTATGCTTGAAGACAAGGAAATCGTTTTTGACATGACATTAAACATGGTGCATCCCAAAAGCATATTTGCCACTTTAAAACGTAAAAGACTCAGAAATATTTGTGTCTAAAACAACAAGAAGATAAGAGTGGACAGAACTGAAATTAAACAATTATTAAAACTTCTTGATGATAACCATTATGTATCTAGGTATTGAGTGTGCGAGGACGGAGAAACCGTTCGGAATATATTTTGGACTCATCCTAATTTCATAAAGTTGTTCGACACATTTTCCACTATATCCATTATTGATTCGACATATAAGACCAACAAGTACATACTTCCACTATTGGAAATCGTTAGTCTTACTTCTACGGAAAAGACTTATTCCGTGGGGTTTGCATTTTTAGAAAGCGAAAAAGAGCACAACATTGATTGGGCTTTATTAGTGTGCTAGACAATGTTGAAGGAAAAAATAAAATATGCCGAAGGTCATTGTCAACAATCATGATACCACATTGGTGAATTCGGTTGTAAATGTGCTTTCTACTTCATACGCATTACTTTGTAGGAATCATATCACAAAGAATGTGAGAAGTCAACTTAAACTTGTGAAAGGGACCAAATAAATAAAGGGTGAAAAAATCGTCAAAGCTATTGTGATACTTGAAAGAATAAGGATGAATGGAATGTTATAATAAATTCTTCTACAGAAGAGTTATAAGTCAATTCTATTATACTTTTCAAGAAAGTGTGTGAAAAATATCTAGATTTCTTAAAATATGTTAAAAGTACAATTCTTGAACAGGTGAAGGAAAAGATGATTTGTGTTTGGACCGATCAAGTTAGACACTTTAAAAATACAATGACTAACCAAGTTGAATCTACTCATGCTACATTGAAGAGTTAATTGAAAAATAGTAAAGGTGATTTGTGTAGAGATTGAGACTATGTGAACTAAATAATCCAAAATCAACATAATGAGATAGATACATCATTTGGTCGCAGCATTAGAGTGTTGGAACACAGATTCATAGACAACAATCTTTATTCACACTTGGTCGACAACATATCTCGACTAGAATTGAATTTTATTTTTCGCTGAGCCAAACAAGTTAAGAAAGTAGGTTCCGATAAATTAAAGTGTGGTTGTACACTTAGGATAATGTATGGTGTCCCATGTTCTTGTTTAATTTCAAATAAGGTGATACTTGATAGCCTAATGCATATGGATGAGGTTTGCACTCACTAGAAAAGGCTCAAGTTTAATGATGATGGTGTGATGAAGGACGGTAAATTAAATATCTCTATCTTGATCGAATGGAAAGTGATACAAGATAGATTTTTGAAAGTCGGTGACAACATGAAACTCCACATCAAAGAGAAAATTAGGAAGATTGCTTATCCAGAAACCACATATTTGAAATCACTGTCTCAACCGGTAAAAAAAATGTGCTACTAAGAAGATCAAATCAAAAATGAGTGACAATTCAACAATGTGGTCTCCTTCCTATTTTGAACATGTTGATAAACTTTTTCCATATTCTCCAACTTCAAATCTCAAAAAAGTGTTTCCAGAGCTTGCATTAGCAAACTATCTCCACACAACCTTTACCAAATATCCAATGCATCAAAGAAATGCCAGTTTTATGCACAAATATATGGAATAGATTGTTAATGTTAAGAGTGACGGTAACTGCAATTATCGATCTGTTTGTGCGTTGCTTGGTAAAAAAAAGAAGAATCATACATTTGTCCATCAACAACTTATTAAAGAGTTGATGGTGCATAAAGATCATACACAACACTATAAGGGATAAAAAGAACATTTTGATGCAATTCATGAATCTCTTATTTCTTGTGTTAGCGGTCCAACACAGGAGGGAAAATAGACGTGCTTCCCAAGAATGGGTCATCTTATAGCAAATGCATATCATTGGGTTTGCATTGATCTGACAAGATACGGTTTCTCTAAAAAAAATTTCACTGTAGACTACTCTGCCTCAAAATCCAACTGATCGAATTATGTGTATTTGGTGACTTTCTAAATTACTGTATTTTGTTCTCGTTTTTTGGATATCGAGATGCCATATACCACTAACATCACCGGAGTGGGTCACACATTCAACAAAGGAAGCTAAAACTTAGTCGGATAATTTTATGGAAAGGATGCAAGAGTTTACCAAGTTGAGCGAAATTGAAAGATAATCAAATAAACAAAATTCAAAGGCGAAACCACCCAAAAATATAGATTTAGACACTAACACGTGTTTTGATTCATTTTAGTTGTTATCCAACAATATATTTAGGTGGTTATACATGTTTTGTATGTAATGTTGGATTAATATTAACGATGTCAAATGTATATATTTGCATATATTTTAATATATGTTTCATATTTCCAAAATTTTCAACATTGTTGTGTTTTATAATAGGTTATGTTTCTAAAATAGGTTATGTTTGAATAGTAACAGGTGAACCCGAAAATATATTTTCATACGCACCCCAAATTTATAAAAAAAAATATAAAAATAGGGGTTTATTCAGAAGTATACTTCCGGACCCACCTCATATTTTTAAAAAATAATATGGATTTATTAGGAAATATATTCCCAGACTCACCTTATTTTCGCTAAACGAAACATAGTATATCCGGAAGTACATCTCTAGAATAAGCCTTGAGACAAAATTGGGTTTCTTAGATTCATATTGATCTAAAAATTGTATAAATATAGGTGCCACTAAACTTGTTACCATAAACACACAAATAACATACACAATGTCTCATATACATATCTCGCTTTTGTCAACTTCAACTCTAAAAATCCCCTTCTTCAATTTAGATTCTCAGAGATCACTTGTGTTGTCGATCTAAAATCAATATTATAGACTATGTACCCAGACAATTGAAGAGTTGTGAAACTCTATTATCGTTCACCCTCAATGATAGCGATGAGGAGATACAATTCAACGAGTTTGAGCTAAAGACGAATGAAGATTTAACTATTATGTGGAGTACGTTTCACTGTTACAAAACAAAAGGTTTGATCGAGCTGGATACGAAGATTGCAAGATCGAC